CCCTAAAAGAAAAGGAAAGCAGCTTTGGGAATGGAATAGCAGGAGGAAAGGGGATACTTAGCCATTTCCCTTCCTGCCATTTATTTGTTTCATAGGAACCCTCTTAATTATTTTTCTTCCATTAAGGAGAAGATACAGCCCCCATCTTTTCCTTCACCATTTGGAAAGCAGATTGGGGGTGATGTTGAGTAGAAAAGTGGAAGGAAATGAAAGGGTTAAGCAGTCCTTTCCCTAATCCATTCCTCTGCTCTGCTTACATCTGCCTGAGGCTGCTTTTCATTTAAAAAAACAGCCACCACACAAACCACTAGGGGAAAGAGGCACACAACTACACATCACGTGCAGTTTGGCCCTGCGATTCTAACATCTCATGGGGATATTTCTAATTAAACCTTTCCCCTTCTGGAAAGTGTGTCTTATCAAATATGTGCACTTATAAATAAATATATGATGCAGCTCAGCATGGTGCAGGTGTGGGATGTAACTCTCAATTTGCCTTCAGGTTCTACAGCATTCATTTCAGGGGTTTTTTAAAAAAAAGAATCCTGCATTTTGGGACACAATTTGTTTTTCCCTCTATTTGTTTCTAGCATCTATGGGAAAGTTTCACAAGAAAAAATGCTTTACATTACACTACTCTACAAAAGGTGCTGTCTGGGGCTCCTCAAGGTCCTTGGCTGTCTGCTCCTCAAGGTCCCGCTTGTCCTTGGAGGATTCTGTGCCTGGTACCAGGTCGGGGCTAGGCATGACCCAACTTGGGTGAGCATTTACCCCAACGCCAACATCTCTTTCCTGAGCAGCCATTGCTGCTTCAGACACCAGTAGTTTATATGTGAAGTTAAGACTTCTTTGCTCCAGGGTGCATAACTTTATACATGCTTACGTTGAATCACATTTGCCATTTTAATGCCCATTCACCCAGTTTGAAGAAATCATTTGGGGGCTCCTCGTTATCCCACCCTGAGCAATTTGGTGTCAGCCACCTCACTGCTCACTTCGAACTTCAGATAATTTAGAAACCAGCACTGGTCCATATAAAAGCACTTGTCCCAATTAGGCAAAACCTTCAGATTTCACACATTTCAAGATTTTGTGACAGTTCTCATCTCAAACATGCCAAACTGCATTAAAAATGTTTTAATGTAAAATACATTTAGGAATACATACATATAGAGATAAATATCTCGTAACTACTAAGCTTACTTGGATCTTTTGATGGACTCTGGGTGTTGTTGTTGTTGTTTTTAAGTCCAAGTCCCTATCCACATGCTTATTGATACTCCCAATGAACTTTAAAAGGATATTTAGGCAGGAGCAAAGTCTGCCTTCTACCACTAAGTCATAGTGCTTCTCCTCTTAACAGCTTCTCCTCAAGACTGCATCTCCTTCTTGGCTCTCATCATTTCCCACTGGTTAGCCTGCACTCCCAACACTGCATATTTGTGGGGTAGTATCCGTCATAGCTTGTCTTCTCTGGATTCTCTGCCATGCTCTTGCACCCAAATTTATATGTATCTGAAGAAGAGATGCTCACTGGTGATGCATCCTTCAATACAAGAGATGCGTTCTTTGGTAACAGAAAGCTTGTTCTTTTGTGTTCTGCTCAGTTATAGTATTTCTGTGCATTCTCAGGAATTTGATGCCGCAGATGTGTGGTTTTGATATGAACCAGTGCACAGAATTTGGGTTACCATGGTGCAGATTTTGATTTATAGACTTCACGCAGCCAAGAGAACTGATGCTTGCAATTCACTCTCATCTCTCCGTCCTGCTGTAGACAAGTCCCAGCACCATAGGACGCCACCCTACTGCCATATCTTATCATTATAGAATGATAACAGTGTAAAAAGGAGACATTAAGCTGTCTTTTCCTTCAAGGCCACTAGTGAACTCAACACTTGGAAAAAGTTGAAGGAAATTTTTGGCACTACTCTTGTTATTTGTTGCTCATTGTGCATGTGGCTGGTGCCTGAGGAAAAGAGTGATTCATAATCTTGAACCTGTCTAAGAGGGATTGAAAAAGAAAAAGGGGTGGCTAACATGTTCCACTCTAGAAGTTGCTGGACTACAGCTCCCATAATCCTTGACCATTGGCCATGCAGGCTGGAGCTGAAAGCTGTTTGAGTGCTGAAGCAGTTGAAGATCCAAGGATCCCAGCCCTGATATAAATGAGCTGTTTCTCGTACAACTTGCAGGCTGCAACAATAATTCATTAAGGAATCCGATTGTTTCCCATCCTTGCATTGGTAACAGATTGACTCTAGGCCTGTTTCCCCACTAGAGAGAACAGAGCCTATTACATTGTATGAGCATTAAAGCCTCTCCTACTTCTTCCAAGCCAAACTCTCTTGCCCTCTCCATGTCATGGAAGAGTCTTTGTAGATCTTGGCTACACAAAGAAAGCAACCCATGTGTTTCCTTCCACTCCTGTTCTGCGGAGTCTAAAATTCTCACAGATGAAATATCATTCAAACATCCACAAAAGCATCTCACTGTGGGAAGAGTCTTGATGTATTTTTTTTAGTGCTGCAGCACTGAATGCAGATGTACTTTTCACAAGGAACCTGGAAATCTTGTTCATCACAATCCAGGTCCCTAATAGGGTTGTGTTTGTTAGTTCAGAACTTTTCATGAAAATCAGCATCTTCTGAAAAGTGGGACTAAATTTTTTTTTTAAAAAAAATCAACAATTAAATAGATATATATAATGCATTTTCTTTTAGCCCAGTGTTCTTTCCCTTTTCACCACCTAATTTCTTGTTCCTGTCTTGCCCCCACACTCCCTTCCTCCTCTTGCCATTCTGTATCTTTTTCAGAAAGGTTTTCATGTCAGCTGGAGCAAAGAGTTTGGACACTGTTTTATCTGTGTAAAAAAGAAACAATGGGATCGGAAACCCAATAGGAACTATCCCATTTGCAAATCAAAATGAGATCTAAAGAATCACTCTGTTTGAAAGCTTGCTGCACAGAAATTTAAATTCATGTGTTCTACTTTATTTGCTTTCTTAGCAAGCTTCTGAAATGGAAGAAGTGATGTATTACAATATAGCTCCTGTGCAACTCCTATGCATTTCAGAGGGATTCATACTACAGTGGATTGTGCCCAAGGTATTATTCATTTAATGCAGGATTTTAAGATGCTTTTCAGAATAAAAACCCTCACAAGGTAGCCTACAATTTATAGAACAATTCATGAAAAATAAATAGAACAAAATCCAACAATGATTTAAAATACCATAAATTGACAGCAGATAAAAGCTAATTACAGCCAAGATTAAAGGTGTAAGAAATACACTCCATAGCATCATCCTAAAACAATCAAGAATATGCAAGATGGTTTTAAAGCTTGCTTAATAACCTGAATAGCAGCATCAGTGGTGCATAAACAGGTAAATAATGCTATAAACCTGGGACCTTTACCTCACCTGGAGAGAATGAATAAGCTTAAAGATGTGGTGTTGCATATTTCACTTCTATTTATAGTTATAAATACTAACTATACCAGTGGCGTAGCGTGGGGGGTGCAAGGGGGGCCGGCCGCACCGGGCACAACATCTGGGGGTTAGGGTTAGGGGGCGCAAATCCATGGGTTAGGGGGCACAAATTACTTGCCTTGCCCCGGGTGCTGACAACCCACGCTACGCCACTGAACTATACTATTTATAGTTATAGATTCAGCCCCCTTATGGAATGGGAACCTTGGGAAACACTTTGAAAACCATTAATGCTACCTGGAAGGAACCATGGTTCATATCCCACAGGGATATTTCTTCAAAAGGCACACCTAGGAGAGAGAGAAAGAGATGCAACTGAGATTTTCACATAACTAACATTGTGATCTGAAGGCACCTTATTTGAATTCCAGCTTGGTATGGACAAAACCAGCCTTTTGAAACCCAGTTGCTTCCAGAGTTGTTTTTTTCTTCTCTGGGTTGCAACTCCTACCATTCCTGACCATTGCCCATGCTGGCTAGGACTGATGGGAGTTGGAGTTCAACAAATCTGGAGAGCACCAGGTTGGAGAAGGCTGATTGATATAGAGTAGTAGCGGCTGTCAAACACATGCCTTGTGCAACCACACCTGGAAACACCAGGGATTGAAACAGACAACTTTTCCACGCAGAGCTTGTGCTCTGCAACAAAGGTATGCCACCTCCTTTTCCTTTTGTAAAGAATATACTGTGTGTGGCAAATTACAGATAATGGGGCCAGGTTCAAATGTGTCAGCAGAGGCTTTAAATATATATATTGTAACATAAAGCACTGTGAGTGTGTGTGTGCAGTAGCAGCCAGTGTGGTTGAGCAGAGCCATGGAGCTGCTTTCTTGACACCAGCATCTTACCTGGAGGAAGATGAGGTGGGGCTAGGTTGGGGCTGTGTGGAGGCAGCAGCATGAACACCTGATTGTCTCTGAAAGTGCACTAACACAGCCCTGATCTTGCCGCAGGAGCCTCTGTAGTGGCTAGTGCTGGGAGTGGGTTTCCTTGGCTGTGTCCCATCACATCAGCTGCTGCTACTGTGTGTGTGTGTGTGTGTGTGTGTGTGTGTGTGTGTGTGTATGCATGTTTTTTCAAGCAAGAATACATACCATGCAGAAGTACACATGGCATAAAGTTCAAACAGCTGACATACATTATATGTGTTAGAGAGTTCTACTGTGGCTTCTACTTACGATATTCTGGCTCCTGTCTATGCATTCCAATCTTGACCCATAGACAGTGCTTCAAGTGAATGGGCAACCACCAACACAGAGAGTCCTGCTGGCAACTTTGACACCATCCTGCTTCTTCTCTCTCTCTCTATTGGTTTTTCTTTCTCTTCTCATATCTCCATTACATCTAGTGTTTATACAAAAGAATACATTCACAAGAAAGAAAATGTAACGCCCACAGTATATTCTTCTTCTTTTTTTTAATTGCATCGTATCACATAGAGACAAGTTGTCTTACGTTCATCTTGAGTTGTGAACAGTTTGCACTGTCTTCTATCCTTCCTTGCAGGGCTCTGGCCGATATCCTCCGGCAGCAGGGACCAATCCCCATAGCACACTGTGAAAGAGAGACTATCTCGGCTATAGATACCTCCCCCAAAGACAACACACCAATCAGAACATCCTCCAAAAATCACTATACGCCGGTGCGCACCTCCAAGAGCAACCCAGGTAAGTGTTGCGCTTCTTCAGTACTTATAAAATCACACTCTGGTGATTTTATTGGGGGGAAAGGAGGGAATTTTGTTGGGGGGAAATGAGTCAAGATGGAGGCTTAGTGCCTGAGGATTCTATGGAGCAGCAGCAATGGCTTGGATTTGAAAGTGCATTTGTGACTATACTTTAAGAGATGCAAATAAATTTGTTAATGGACTTATTGAGACATGTTTAAATGCTCGGTGAAGGTATAAGGTGAAAACAATGGCATTTTGCAGCAATGGAGTACAATAATGAGCTGTTACAATAGAAAAGAATAATAACAATAGACAAACAAATGAAATCTGACAAAAATATGTGGGTGGGAGCACTACAAAGGGCAAGTGAATTGTGACATAAGCTTTCAGTCTTAAAACATGACCCAAATCCTCATCTGAGCACTGGAATCTTCTGCTAACTCCACTACCCACCTCCTGGGAAATAAGACATACTTTGTATTATCCATTATATGAACTGTTACAGTCATAATGGGATACTATGTAGAGCGAGATGCCCCAATTCAGTCACAAGTGATTGAATATGACACAGGAGTCATTGGGTAAAGCCTTCCTGCCTCTGGTTATTTGAGAGGTCAAAGCAGGTGACCTTAAAAGGGTAATAGCTCCACAAGGTGCTGAGGCAGCTCGTCTCTTTTGCCACTGAAAACTGCAGATTCCCAGCACAACACACAGGTAGTGTGACTGGGCCTGTCTTGGGCATCTTTTCCTCTCTTTACCTTATTGATTGCATCCCAAGGGATCTTCCTTCTGTTGAGGCAAAAGGTAAAAGAGGGGTTTCAGCAGAGAAGTGGAAGAGGGGAGGGAATACCGAAGCCATCTGTATCTGCAACACCTCCCAAGCTCCTTTCTCCTCTATGGGGATTCCAGATCTTTGTAGTTCCATGGGGGCGGGGTTAGAGCAGAAAAGACTCAGATGAATGGGAGGTTTCAGTGAGGAAATGGTGGGCGAGGGAATGGTTAAGCGCTTCTTTCCCACAGTTCTCCTTCTGAATCTGCTTTTCACTTAACAGAAGCAGCCACCAACTTAAATATATATATTTGCATGTAATGTGAGGATCATCATAACTAAGAGGCAGGGCTGCCAGATATTTAATAGAAGATGCTATAAGTGCATAGAAGAAAAATGAGGCGAGAACTGCAAGTTTAAGTTAGGTGGCATACGTTGCTTTGTAAAAGAAGGCTGATCTCTGGCTGAAAAGTATCATAGAATGATGAATCGTAGAACTGTGGAGGATTATCTAGTCCAACCCCTGTGCAATGCAGCAATTGCAACACACAGTCCCAGTGTGAGAGCCAGTGTGGTGTAGTGGTTAAGAGCGGTAGTCTCGTAATCTGGGGAACCGGGTTCGCGTCTCCGCTCCTCCACATGCAGCTGCTGGGTGACCTTGGGCCAGTCACACTTCTTTGAAGTCTCTCAGCCCCACTCACCTTACAGAGTGTTTGTTGTGGGGGAGGAAGGGAAAGGAGAATGTTAGCCGCTTTGAGACTCCTGAAGGGGAGTGAAAGGCGGGATATCAAATCCAAACTCCTCCTCTTCTTCTTCTTCTTCTTCTTCCCGCAACCTATTTGAAACTACCCCAGACCCTGCCTAACTTTGCAAATGTGCTAGCAGTTTTATTGTTGCACCACTAGGGAGAGCTTTTGATGGGACAAGCTCTTCCAATAGGGGAAGAATGAGACTGATATGGGTGCAAGGATGGATGGGAAACCTGCAGGAAAGTATGGCATGAAAAGAAACAGATATTGATTTCTGCCATAACTTGAATAGATGCATCAACAGTGTTCTGTAGCCCCAATACAGGCATTTCCTTCGAAACATGGATGGCAGGTAGTGTGTGTGGTGGGGGAAGTAAATGTGGATTGCCCAGAGGCACTGAACATGGTCCCACTCTCCTCTTCACATGATTGCAACCACATAAGGGGAGAACCACTAAGGCAGACAGAGCTTGGTTCAACTCTAGTGCAGGATAATCGTTAATTGATATCCAACGGTATATGTATTTCTGAGGAATGAACTGACAGAGGTGAAGATGGGACTGAATAGGATACTAACAACTAGCAGAGGACAGTTTTGAAAAAAAGATTCTCAGGTAGAATAATGAGTTGAGACACAAAGGTACTGAGTAAACTAAGAAGATCTTGAAACCATCCAGGCTCTGGTTACTGAACTGTGCATCTAACTGACACTCAAAGTTTCTTAAAGGTGGGGTGAGCCTAACCTGGCACTGAGTTGTGTGTAGTCAGGTGCCCATTCTCTTCCTCAGTGGACAGATATTTTCAGGTGTTGAGGGAGGCCTTCCTCAACCTCTCTTTCCCTGAGCCCTACAGCTCTGGGTAGGGAAGGAAATTTCACCCCAAAGAGAAACTGTAACTCAAACTCCAGGTCCCACAGTGCAAAGTATTTGGAACCTCCCTTAATAACGACAGTGCCTCCAAGTGGAGTAGGGCTTCCAGTGTGGCTATCCCTGTTCTGTGGAATAGCATTCTTGCTGAGTACAGCAGGTACTACCAGCACTTTCTGGAAAGAATTGAAGACATTTTTTGTTCCAACAAGCTTTCCCAACTGGATAAGTGAGTCTTTGCCATGCGTGTCTATTTTGTTTTGTTTTAAATGTATCTGCTGTTTTTGTGTGTTTAACTGTTCTTTGCTGCTTTTGTTTATACATTGCCCAAGAAGGCAATTAACAACAACAACAGCAACAACCACCACAACAACAACCATATATTTCTGTATAAAGATAGTTGCACAGTCCTGCCAATTTTGACCAACCAATTTAAAAGATGTGCCCCTTTCTGACAAAACCCCAATAGTTCACAGTGCAGAACAGGCAAGGAAAAAAAATACCCCCCCCCCAAAAAAAAACTTAAGCATTTTTTATATTAAGAAAATCATACTCAGGCCTTATGTAACCAGCTGATCTTAGGGCTAATCAAGACTTCATTTTGTGCCATGTTTACTATGCACAGCTCTGGGGTTTCAAGGTTCATGTCCATGTCATGCGACAAAGAAAAAAAACCCACCACTCAGACATGGACCTGGAAATCTTGGATGAGCCCTTACACTGTGTCCTGATGGGGAGTGCATTGTGAAGAGGCAAAGAGACTCAGCCAAGGACAGTGTGAGTTTAAGTAACCTGCCAAGCCCCACCCCATGCCTGTGTACTAACTGCTGAGATTTCCATTCCACCTTAAGGAGCAGACATGTGGAACTGTTGCGTGTCACATGTCTGTTTACATTCCAGCACAGCTTGCTGGGAACTTCCGTTGTGTATAGTTTTTGCTTTTTCCCGAGAGAGACGACATGTTTCTTTGTCCTGATTTATGATTAATAAATCTGTAGTTGTAGTATGCTTCCACAAGCCTCACGCCTAAACTGTGTGCGCAGTTCTCTCTGCTGATAGTGTGCCCTGGCTCTGAAGCCCGGGTGGCTGATTTATGTCAGAGCAGAGGCCGATGGTCTTCGCAGTGGGACGGCTGGAAGGAGATAGCCCGGCTGGGGCTAGCCAGCTGGCCTCCCGACCCTCTGCATGTCAACACTAACATGCGCTCTTCACACTACACCTGATAGGCTTCACCTCCATCTGGGGCCCCTGCAAAGCTGCTCCTACCTGACCCCTCTGTGGAAAGCAAGGGAGCAGACTTCTGGTTCTAAGGCAGAATGTAATCTATAGCTGTGCCTATAATCTATAACCGCAGAACCTAGAGAAAGAATTGGGCAAAAGCCAGTGTTTCCTGCATTTTTTCCTCCCTAGCTAGTATGCCGAGCAGGTAAAGGAGGTATTTAGCAACTATAAGTTAAGAAACCACTTCAGCACTACCAGTTCATTACCAGAAAACTGCAGCATTAAGTGGTGCCCCACATGCGTGAATTAGTTGTTCCAGCTCACCTATCTCAGACAGAGATTCCACATCCTCTTAAACCACAAGGCTCTCGGCTGAAGTTGATGTATGTATGCATGCATTCAGCTGTGGCTGATTTGTACAGAGGAATCAAGTTATGCACAAGCATGTGTGAATGTCTTGAGCTCCCAATCTCCTGCCTATAAAAATGCAGTGGTGGTACTGCAGGGGCAGGCTGTTGGGAGGAAAGAGGAAATTAGTTCAGTCGAATAATAATAATAATAATAATAATAATAATAATAATAATAATAAATGAAGAGGAAATTTGTCACTGCAGATTATCTGGGACATACACTTAGCAAATGAGGAAGCTGCCTCACACTGTTGGCCCATCTAGCCCAGTATTGTTGACACGGACTGGCAGCAGCTTCCCAGGCTTCCGTGCAGGGGATTTCTTTACCTGGAGATGCTTGGAATTGAAACAAGGAACTTTTGCATGCAAAGCACATGTTCTGCTATTGAACTATGGCCCTTACCAAATTCTGATGGAATTTAAATGCTAAGAGCCAGTTTGGTTGCAGGAAGAAATGTGGGTTTAGGGGAGTCCTGGGCTTCGACTCCGTACTGACAAAACTCTCACTTCATCAGGAGCCATCAGCAAAGAAAAAGAGGCTGCAGTTTAAGATAGTTTCCTCATTCATCTACATTGTGTTAGGAGATATGGCTGCTGAAACTATTGTTTCAATGACAGCAGTTTTGAAACAAAAAGATGTGTTAAAAAAAGGGCTTTTGCAAATATCCCTATTTCTTGCCTCACAAAGCAAAAGTGACATATTTGCTGATATGAATAAGTATTCTAAATAAAGGAATAGGCTTCTGAGTTGTTACTCTGGATCTAAAGAGAAAGAGCGAAAGAAAGATCTCTCAATTAATGGAAAAGGTGAATAATAGACCCTAGTTTTGTATTTTGGAAGAGAAAATGGGGACAATGTGGTCCAACAGCGACCACCAGGGAATTGCGAAAATCGTATTTCTTCTGGAGGTGCTCTGAATATGCAGTGCCATGATTTGGGGAGCTAGAAATATCTACAGGGGAAACATAATGTAATCTCTGCT